CATTCGGATCTGAGCTGGGGATGCCTCGCGGGCTCATTATCGGTGAACCGAAACGACTCTCCTGTGGGCACATATTTTCCAAAAGGTCCTCACGTGATAAAGAAAAACCACTGCCTTGATATTCTCTTAGCCACGAGCTAAATTGTCCAGGTGGATGGTCTGTTTATCTTCCTCAAGTGTGTAAGATGTCTCGTTTGTATCTTCCCTGACTCAATGTCCTTCACTCTCGCATTGTACCCTAGCTCACTCATAGAGACGATCTGTTGTGGTAGACTCCAAATTCTCGAGCCAACTTGTCTAAAATCCTTTGAGAGAACCAGGTCACCAATCCCAATCTGTGTATGGTTTCGTTTCTTGTTCCCAGGATCAGCATGCTTCTCGGCTTATCTTTCCATAATCTCAATGTCTTTGTTCCTGATAAAATTAAACCACTCGGCTCTCTCCGCGTTTGAATCGTAGATCAAATCATAGATTTCTCTTTCTTCAGGTGTAGTAACTGGCACACCAAAAAGCCAATGCCCGGGGGTGTCTTCCAGCGACGTGTGGTAACTCGTCGGTACAGATATAGAGTAAGCGCCAAGCCTTCTTCTGCAACTAAAAGTTCATTCTGTAATACACGGTGATGATGTTTCCTGAGATGTCTATGGAATGATTCAACCGGACTGTTTCCTTCAGGGTGATGTGGCGTGATTGCTACAAGGTCACTTCCAAGTAACCTCGCTAATTCTCCCATCATTAGTCCTTGGAAGGCCTTGTCATTGTCAGATATAATCTGACGTGGAACACCATATCGCGAAACCCATACTTTGATGAAGGTAGACACCACGGTCTTCGCTGTCTTATCTTTAACTATTGCTGCCTCAGCCCACCGTGAGGTCCTATCGATCATAGTCATGATCTTGGTGTCTCCAACCGTTGGTTCCCAGAAATCGATGTGAACCGATTCGAGTACTTGTCCAAGAGGAAAATGTCTAGAGAAGCCTTGAAATCTTTCTTTGCCACTTCGACGTCTCTGACAGGTCAGGCATGAACTTAAATAATCTCGAACTGATTTCATCTGGTCAGTCCACCAAAATAATTGCCGGCAGTGCTTATAGGTTCTCAAAACCCCGCAATGAGATCCTAAACCGGACTCATGAAAATACTTCAAAACGTCTTCGCATGTCCTTCGGGGATGAAAACTCGGCCTTGTTTGAACAGAAGTCCCTGCTTTAGGGTCAGTCCAAATTTATCTCGAACTTCTTGAGGAGGTGATCCCTGGATAGCTTGAATCATTTGTAGAGTAGGCAAAGAGGAGCCAGCATACTCTAATTCTGCTCGACAAATCATTCGATCTTCAATCAAAGACTCATCTTGATGAAGACGACTCAGTGCATCCACATGAAGTATCTCTCGTCCACTTTTATGTTTGACATCCAGATCATACTCTTGAAGGGTTGTGGCCCACCGTGCAATCTTTCCTTTCTTAGCTTCTAACATCCTTTGTAAACTCTTGTGGTCGGTGAACACTGTAACTCTTCTTCCACGTAAAAATGTATCAAACTTCCTTAGTGCTACGACAATCGCGAAAGCTTCCTTCTCTCTTGTGGGCCACCGCTGCTCTACTTCTGATAGCGTCTTACTCATAAACTCCACAGGGACAATCATTCCCTCCTTGTCGAAAGAGAGAACTCCAGCGACGGCGTAGTCGCTAGCATCGGTCTCTACAATGATCTCGCCCTCCTGCCATTCATTTGATAAAACAGCCTTTCCGAGTTTATCCTTGAGCTGTAAAAATGCTGTTTCTTGTTCTGTTCCCCATACAAATTCCGCTTTGCCTTTCATCAGTCTTGTGAGTGGGATCGTTAGTGCAGCATAGTTAGGGATGAAACTCCGATAGTAACCGAACATCCCTAAAGCTTGGCGGAGAGTGGTCTTGTCTACTGGAGAGGTCAAAACCTTAAATGCCTTAATCTTCTTCGGTTGTGGAGCCAATTT